GTTTGTATCATCGCCAGCACTACATGAAATATGTATAAGGATACACACCTGTCTGTAATCTCAGCACTACAACAGTAGGATCACAAGTTCAAGGCCAGCCTGAGCTTTTGGGTTCCATGAAATCCTATCTTTAAAAAATATGTTAGTAGACAAGTCCAAGGGAGGAGAGGAGAGGAGAGCCACTGGCATCCCAAGGTGAGGAAGCTAGAATCACTGTCAAGCCAAGGTGGTAGAAAGAGTATCTCAAAATTCATTACACAGGCTGGTGGATAATCTTCCCCAAATACTGAAACTCAAGCCTGTGGCCCCCAGGGTGTCCATCTCAATGAAACAACAGTCATGTCCTACCTGAAACCATAGCAGATACCAGTCTGATACCAGTCTGGTGGGTCTGGGCTTCCCAACAAAAGAAAAACCAAGGTTGGATGCTAGCCCCAGCTTTGTCACTGGTGCCTGGGGGTTAGTTCTTCCCCAAACTGGGTGTGCACAAATACAATTCCAACACGTGGAAGAGTGAAGCAGGGGGATTGGGAATTCAAGGCAAAAACAAAAAACAAAAAAAAAAAAACGGGGGGGTGGGGAGAGAATAGCAAGATGGTTCAGTAAGTAAAACACTTGCCACCAACCCTGATGATTTAAGTTTAATCCCCAGGACCCACATGGTAGACTGACTGCTGACCTCTGACCTCCACACTCATGCTATGGAATCAGCAATGCACATTCGTGCGCGCGCCCACACACACACACACACACACACACACACACACACACACACAGAGCAAATTTTCGTTTAAAGACAGGATGCCCAGTCTGCAAATCTCCAGCACTGTGGAGATGAAGTGAGAGTAGCCCATGCCTGAGCAGACAGGAAGTACTTCCCGAGGATGAGTGATGCCATGGTCTCTAACTCCTCAGAATACCCCCCAGCCGTGGTCAAGTCCTTCTCAGCTACTGAGAGCACCAGAAGCTGCTCAGCAGCTCAAACTACACACCAGAGACCTGAGCCTTGGGTGCCCCTAGTCCAAGGTGAAGGGAAATGACAGGGGTGCATTCTCTATTCACCTATTCACTTTGTGTGGTCAGCTGTATTCCCAGTCCTGGAGTTCTGGCCTCATAAATGAATTTACAAAGAACACTGGTAACTCACTTTCTAGAAGCATAAATGAAAACTGCCCAAGCTTTAGTCTTCTCATACTAGCAGGAGACCCAGGAGCAAATTGTCATCAATGCTAAGTAACTTCAAAGGTCTGGTCTCTGGTGGACACCACATTTGATCCAATTCTTCAGCCCCTTCCATGTGAACAGACGCCTGGAAGGATATTCCGTCTGCAGTTAACCTCCTAGCCCAAGAGTAACTGAGGTTCTCATTCGGGCATATTAATAACTGCTTAACATACACACAGTCCTGCAGGGAGGAGATGTGAGCAAGCAATCTTTTCCAGCGACAATCTTTGGAGACTAGGAATTACTAGAAAGTCAGTCTTCCTTCTCTAAAGGTCACTAGGAAAATTATAATATAACCCGTTTGTTGAATAATAGACGGCCTCTCTTGCAGGCTTCAACACTCCGGGGATATGTTTATTCATTCCCTATAATTTAGTAGCAAACCTCTTTTATCCAAGTAAAGTTTTACATTTCCCTAATGATGTGTCACGGGAAAATGATAAAAACAGGACAATGAAGAACACTGGTACTAGATTACAATGTGATTCAGCAGCTTTACAATAACCTTATGGGTGAGAGAAACAGAATCCCATGAGCATCCAGGCACTCGGGAACTTCAGTCATTCAATATTCACTCGGGTTCTAATGGCAGGAGAAGCTACGTTAGACTCTGGTGTTAAAGCACATCCTCCTCTCAAGGGTGTGCAATCTAACAGGGCAAGGTGTGGAGGTAAATAGACAAATAAGCAATGTCAGGATAAAGAAAAAAGTGCCAACAGGAAAAGCAGACGGTCCAAGGGAGGCAGGACAGACCATCAGCCTCTGAAGGTTGTTTCCAAGGATATATAAAAGATGGAGTTAGTGGGGAGGAGAGGAGAGGGAGTTAGGGGAAAGAGAAGGGGAGAAGAGGAAGGGAGAGGAGGACATGAGAGAGCAGGAAGATAGAGTCAGGGGAAGAATAGAGGAGAGCAAGACAAGAGATACCATAATAGAGGGCGCTATTATAGGTTTAAAGAGAAATCTGGCACGAGGGAAATGTCCAGAGATCTGCAAGGTTGACCCCAACTAACAATCTAAGCAATACTGGAGAGGCTACCTTAAATGCCCTTCCCCTATAATGAGATTGATGACTACCTTATATGCCATCCTAGAGCCTTCATCCAGTAGCTGATGGAAGCAGAAGCAGACACCCACAGCTAAACACTGAGCTGAATTCTGGAATCCAGTTGCAGAGAGGGAGGAGTGATGAGCAAAGGGGTCAAGACCAGGCTGGAGAAACCCACAGAAACAACTGACCTGAACAAGGGAGAGCTCATGGACCCCAGACTGATTGCTGGGAAACCAGCATAGGACTGTTCCAGACCCCATGAATGAGGATGTCAGTTTGGAGGTCTGGTTAATCTATGGGGCCTCTGGTAGTGAATCAGTATTTATCCCTAGTACATGAATGGACTTTGGGAGCCCCCTCCACATAGAGGGTTACTCTGTCAGCCTAGACACACGGAAGAGGGTCTAGGCCCTGCTTCAAATGATTTGACAGACTTTGAAGATCCCCATGGAAGGCCTCACCCTCCCTGGGGAGCAGAAAGGGAATGGGATAGAGGGTTTGGAGGGGGGGGAGGGCAGAAGAGAAGTAGAGGGAGAGGGAACTGGGATTGACATGTAAAACAAGCTTGTTTCTAATTTAAATTAAAATTTTTTACTTAAAAAAAAACAAACATTTTGAAAAAGAAATCATGGAATAATTCCCATTCCCAATTGCCTTATAATAAAGAAAGTAGTAAATAGACTAATGAACAGTTTTCAAACAATGAAATATAAATAACCAATAAACACATAAAAATGTTCAAGCTTGTCAGAACACGGTCCAAGAATGGAGTCATGTGAGAATTCTGAGTGCTTGTGAGAAATCTCTGAGAAAACAAGTCTTATGACCTCAGTTGCCTCAAAAACATGGAATTGTTCTTGGAATGTGCTTTCATGCTCTTCTTAGGTGTAGCAGATATGAGTGAGTTTACTTCAGATTATTCATTATAACTGGCTGTTGTTATTTATCCACATGTCTCTATGGAAAAACAAGTTTTTGCCACATGCAGCTTGTCCTTGTGATTGAATTCCTGTGACTCCTCTTAACCCTCAGAGTATAAACTGTCAGATGCTCTGAATAAAGTTGGCTGTTGCATTTATCGGCTCCGTTCTCCCAGGTCCCAACACCTCTAGAGTGGTAACTCAGCCTCACTAGCCACCAGAGAAATAAGAATTTAAGTTACAATGAGATTCCATCTCATCCCAGTCAGAAAGGCAGTTATTTAGAAAACAACACAACAGATGTGACCTTTAACTCCAGCATTTGAGAGGCAGAAGCAAGTATATCATTGTGAGTTCAAGATCAGCCTAGACTACACATCCAGTTTTAGGGTTACATAGTGAGATCATAATCTCAATTTAAACTACACACAACAACAAATCCTGCTGAGAATGTGGGCAAAAGGGAACTTTATACATGGCTGAAAGGGATGTAAACTAAACCAACCACTATGGAAGTGTCTCAAAAAAACTAAAATAGTAGATAAGCTATGGACCCATCCTAAATGTCCAAAAACAGTGTGGATAAAGAAAATGAGTTTATATATACAAAATGGAATTATTCTCAGCACCAAAGAAGGAGACTATGTTTACAGAAAAATCTACTGTAACTGGACATAATCACACTAAGTTAATTAAGTCAGTCTCCGGACAAACATGCTTTCTCTCATCTAGATTTTTTATAGATACATCAAATCATGTATTTATAAATGGCATAGAAGTTCTAGCAAAGCAACTTCATAGGAGAATAAAGGGGACCAACAGGAGAGAACAGGGAGTGAGTGGTAAAGGGGTTTGGAGAAAAAAATGCTCAATATAGTAGATACTATATAAAAACATCCTTATATAACACAGTATCATGTGCAATGAATATACACAATAAAAATGTAATAATAATAATAAAAAACAAATAGGACCACAATTTCCAAGAACTCTAGAATATGACCAAGAGACCAACCTAAGAATATATGGAGTACAAGTTGAGATTAAAAGCAAACAAACAAAATGAAAGTATTTAAAACATACATTTTATATATAGAAAGTTCCCCAAATCTAAGGAAAGAAATGACATTCAAGTACAAAAGACATTCAGAACTCTAAATAGACATGACCACAGAACAACCTCTCCACAACATGAAAGATGCTAAAAGAACAAAGAAACGATATGAAGTGCTGTGAGAAAAAACAACTCATACAGGGAACCAAATCAGAATAAGATCACCTCTCCAAAACACCCTGAAAAGCCAGGCTAGCATGGAACAAAAAATCCTTCAACCAAAACTGCTATATCCAGCAAAGCTGTCTTTTAAAATTGACAGAGAAATAGGGACATTTCAAGAAAAACACAAACTAAAGCCAATAATAAGGGTGTGTGTGTGTGTGTGTGTGTGTGTGTGTGTGTGTGTGTGTGTGTGTGTATGCATGTAGGTATGCCCATGTGTGTGTGGAGGCCTGAGGCCAGTATCAGGTGGTGTTCTGGATTGCTTTCCACCTGCCAACATGGAGTTCAGGTTCTCTCTGTCAACATGGGAGTTCAAGACAGCTACACTGCCTGGTCAGCAAATCCTAGGGATCTCCCTGTCTCTGCCTTCCCAGTGCTGAAATCATAGGCTTGTTTTGTATGGGTTCTGGGGATCAAACTTAAGTTTTCATCTTTGCAATAACTGAGCCCATCTCCCCAGGCCACTCCTGAAAGCTGTTTAATCAACCTCCTAATAGAGAAAAGGCAAGCAACAAGTCTGAAATCAAAATGCTTCTCAAAAAACTTCAGAAATTTTATTTGTTATTAAAATTCATGTTTAAACAGTATTACACAGCAAAAAAATTAACACATGTAAGTTATAAATACAAAAAGTCTTGAAAGCACATAAAAACACATGTTTCAAACCATGTTTACATACAAAGTCCAATTAATTTCTCACATAGAAAGTACAGCAAGGAAAGGACTCAAAGTGCTCATCTGCAGCCCACAAGCCAAGTCCTCTCAGCCAGCCCTGAGAACTGCAATGTAAGCTACAGCTGTCTCCTTCCTTGTGTACTGTCTTCCTCTCCACTTCATATTTAAGACAAAGACCAAGACTTTTTACAAACTGGTGCTTACTATTTCACTTCGATAACCCAGCTACAGAACAGATAAGCCACAAACGTTATCTGAAAAGCAAAGTTTGAGTCATTCTCAGCAAATTCTCAGATATTTATTTTTATAAAATTAAGATTTCTCACTTATCACATCTGCTTAAATCACAGTAAGTGTGTAAACTAGTTCCTCAACCTACCAACCAAAAAAGGTAAAAAAGACACATCCTTAACTGTGTCCAAGTTCTTGTTCACTCTAATCAGTCCCTGCAAATGCCATGTGGATCTAGCTAATCTAAAATCCATCTACAGCTGGGGGGTATCCAGTGGTAGAATGCTTGTCTACCATGGTCAAGGCCCTGGTTTCAATCTTTAGCACCACAAAGAAATAAAAGCTAGAATACATGAGTGGTTTCTTCCCTCTGCCCACACCACAACTAGTAATATGCACTGACAACAGAAACAGCCTCACTGACTATCTACTACTACTGCTAGTTCTCATTAATTCCTATTGCAAAATGAAGATATTTGATTTCTTATTTTATAAAAACTCTATTATTGTTGGGCAGTAGTGGCACACACCTTTAATCCCAGCACTCAGGAGGCAGAGACAGGTGGATCTCTGTAAATTCAAGGCTAGCCTGTTTACAAAGCAAGTTCCAGGACAGCTAGGTTGTTACAGAGAAACCCTGTCTCAAAACACACAAAAACAAAAACAAAACAAAAAAAAACCCAAAACTACATTTATTATTACTAATTAATCTCTATTGTCCTTAATAATATTTCTGGGGAAAATAATTAAATTTAAGCTTCAACTAAAGATTCTAAAAGGAGGTTAAAAACAAAACTAGTTACTGATGGTGCAAAGTTTTTTTCTGTATCAAAAGCTGTCTCTCCCAGCTACTTAGGAGTCTGACACAAGAGGACCACAGGAGCCTGTGTAATACAATCACTGTGCAATATAATGAGTTCTCATTTCCCAGGGGAACATGGGGGTTGGGGTTAGGGCAGGGGTACAGAAAAAAGAAAGTGAGGGGAAGGAGAAAGCCATCTCCTTCCAGGGTTTCAGAAATTTCTGTGGGACAGAAACCATGAACAATTCTCTTGAAAGTCATAAAGAGAATAGCACTGATAAAAGTAAAGAAATTAAAGGAGAAGTATGTTCTACTAGTTCACTTTTCATTGACTTACTAACAGCTAACTATGGAACAGAGGGTTAAGCTTAGTCAAGTAATAAGTAAAAAATAGAGGGTTGGGTGGTGGTGGCGCTGGTACCTTTAGTACCACCGCTTGAGAGGCAGGACAGGAGGATTTCTGTGATTGAGGCCAGCCTGGTCTACAGAGTGAGTTCCAGAACAGTTGGACTGTTACACAGAGAAACCCCATCTGTACAAAAAAACAAAGTGGAATTCGGGGTGGTGCCCAATTAAGACACTGACAACCAAAGTCAAGGTACACACAGCTACAGAGAGAAATCTCTCTAAGTAAGACTTTAGCTCATAAAAAGAACTTGAAAAACAACACTCACTGAGTTATCAAAAGAAATGTTGCAGACTGTGCACAAAGACACTATTCTTTAAAGCAAATTTAAAGAGTGCAAATAAGCAACATGATTTTATTTGGAAAACCATACCCCCTGGGGGTAAGTGTGGCTCAGAAAACAGACCACCATTACCTTGCAGCATAGCCTGCATAATGAATGATAGCATCAACACATAGAGTTCCTTCAAATGGTTCTCATTAATTATGCCAACCAATTTGAATGCATCAAGGAAGTTTCCAATAGCATAACAAGGTACATATTTACATTTCATTTTCATGTTAAGAACAAACTGTTAATAACAGTAATGATTATAAAAAATGAGTAAAAGTATGTTCATTTGAGGAGACAGCTCTACTAACATTATTCATCCAGCCATAAACACTTTTGTAATGAATGCAATACTACAATACAATTCACAGTATTATAAAATGTTGATGTACAGACTTTCAACTTTTTTCCAATTCAAAATTAAAGAGCTGAACTATATGTATGCTTAGCCATTTTACTCTAAAACCTGTAAAATATATAAAATACCAAGATTATCAACCGTCACATATTTTCGGAAGTCAGGGGACACATGTATTTTCTTGAGGTTTGTTCCATTTGTGTAGAAGGTCTGTGAGGATTCGCCAGTGACAACATTCCACCACTATTCAAAGAAAAAGAAAACTTTCATTAGATTGGTAATTACACTGCAGTGACAAAATTCCACCACTATTCAGAGACAAAGAAAACTTTCATTAGGTTGGTAATGACACTACATGCTCATTTGTAGTGCCAACCAGCTCCTTTCCCCAACTACTACTGACCCCTAAGCCAAACAGTGAGCAGGAAAGGCACCCAAAGTTTACTAGCCTTTGTTGGTTACGCCCGGTGATGGCCTCACAGTCATGTCTGTCCCCAAAGCCACTGCAAGGCATTGAAGAAAAAATAATAACCACTAGAGAGCTGGTAACAGAGTGTTGGGAAGGGTTGGAACTGTCTGCATGTCTTCTCCATGGAATGGGCACATGACTGTTTCTCCATATTAAGATACCCTTCTAGAGCCATAGACTGCACTCTAACAGATACCCAGACTGCTCATAGTACAGACAAGGAAGGAGAACACTCTTCTAGAGAACCCTTTTCTCCATGGGTAATGTAAGCTGCTATGTGACACTCTATGCTGAATACCAGTCACCTCCAAAGAAGCAGGTGCTCTAACCACATTCTTCACTGAATTTATGAAGAGTAACACTATTTTCACCAAATGGCGTTCACAAGACTTACTCTCCTATCTCAGAGCTAAACTGAGGGCAAGAAACAATGCACTCGAACACATTTTCAAAAGGCCTATAGTGCATCAAGAGCCCGAGTATCACAAACATACAACAATACTCTGGCCTATGTGCTCAGGACAGAGCCTAACACTCCACCTTGCCATGAGTCAGGCTTGAGTATTATCTTTCCTTGTGATAGTATGATCTGGTAAATGTGTACGTCACAGGGTTTGGTAAAGCTCACTATAGCAGCGTGCACTTTCGAAAACAGCACCATACCCCAAGCACAAAGAATACACTCCAGCCCTGGAGGACTTGCTTGCAGTGACTAGGGCTTGTGGAGTTCATCTCCTAGACCCATCTGCCTCACTTTAAAAATAAAAAACCTGGGTTCCTGAGAGAATCAAGACTCAGAGGACAGTGGAAGTAGACAGCAGAGGTGGAACAGTTTCTGACTTCCAAATGTAGTGTCCATCCGTCACACACACCATTAAAAAGAACTTCTTAACCTGAAAATACTACAGCAGTCACTGGTTCAATATGGATTGGAAATACAAGATTTCATATCAGCAAACACAGAATTTTCAGGGTAGTGAATTGCTCAATATGACCCTATAGTTGTAGATACATGCCATCAGAAATTTATCCAAATGCATAAAATGTGCAACACCAAGCCTTAGCCTTACATCAACAATGCACTGTAGGTGTTGATGATGTATCAGGTTAAGTCCATCAGTTATAACAAATATGAGTATCTGATACTGATAGTGGAATAAGTCTGAGTATGTACAGAAGCAAAAGATGCACAAAAAAATATCTGTAACATGGCAATTATTATCACTATACCCATTTTACAGACAAAACAACTGGAGCAAATAGCAGTAAAACAACCTTGTGAAGTCACTAAACTAGTGAATGGCAGAGCTGAGGTCTGAACTAAGGTAGTCTGTCCCCAGACCCACTCCACAGTCATAACAATACTCTTCTGAGTATAAAATACCTTCATTTATGACTCTGTGTTCCACATCTTAAATCAGCCTTTGCCTTCAGTGTATGAATTAATATGAACTTGCCATTCTAGCAGTCTGTTTTCTGTGGTGTGACTCGAGCAAAAGCTGAATAATGTTACATTTTTATTTATAATAAATTTGAGAGTTAAGAACATTTTAGTTATAGATACCTGTATCTTGCTCACACTCAATTTACATTGTTCAGATTTTAAACAGACCCAAAAATGCCTAATTTCTTGACTACTTGAGCAGCTGTTTCTTCTTACTCCTAATTTGTTCTGTGCCTTTGGATGGTCTCATTAACATGCTGGGTAGATGCAGGCTGGGTTATAACGTAATTAGTTTAACTATGCTAGTAATCAAACAGAAGGCAAAGTGCTGAGTGTCATGTCAATACATAGACTACACAGACAGGCAGCTTCTCCCAGCCTCAAGACATAACATGTACAGTACAGCAACAGAGACATCTTTCTACTTTATGTCAAGGCTGCTCACTGATCTTCAGAATATCCTGAAAGCCAGACACGATTATGCAGTGGCATTCCACAGAGCTCAGAGCTTCTGGAAGCTTGGTGTCAAGGCTGGGTCATTACGTTTCCACAGGGAAAGACTTTCCTCTTCCAACACAAAGACAGCAACATCTCTCCTCTAAGCACCATCCTCAAATCTCAGAGTCATTTGTCTTTACACTAAAAGAAGAGTGGCATCAACAGTCCGGGAGCTCTTGATGACTACATGAAAGTGTGCCCCAAAAGGTATCCACTAAGACAACATTAAGATACTGGTTTCCAATGCAGGAAACAAAATGAAAACATCCCCTCAATCATCTTTTATAAGCCAGATGTTTATGTTGAGTCAGACTGCAATAATATGAGACCCTTATAACCAAAGCCTTCATTCAAACACATATGAACATCTGTGTTATGAGGTAATGAGATCATCCTCACTTAGATGTTCTCAACCACCTCACAAAATCTTATGGGATCAGTTGTAAATGACAAAGTCTACAGAATGCCCAGTGGTCAGTATCCTTTCCTACCCCTTGTACAACTGACCTATCCATTCCTCTCCTTTCTGCCTCCACTTACCTCCTGCAAAGTTCTCTCAGGCCCCTCCCACACTTTAGGGACTTCCTTTTCCATTTGTTTCCTGTATGGAGCATTAGCCACCACTGGGAAAGGACAAGCCTTAAATATGTGCCACAGCACACAGCAGGAACTAAACACAGTCTTACTGAATGGGTAAATGGACCAATAAATGACATCAGAGCCCTATAATATGCTTAAACCTTGGTGCCAATAGTCACTATTGAGTATGCACAAGCCAATTTGTTAGAGACAGCAGGAAAGGCAGAGGACCTGCTAGGAGTCTTGGCCCTTGTAGTTACCAATCACAAAGTTTTAGGAGAGTGATAACCTCCATGAAAATCAGTTTTGGTCATCTATAACCCAAAGGGAGTAAAACTTTAACATCACAAAACTGATTAGTGGACTGATAAAAATCAAAGTCTATAGATAATAAATTATGTGCTGCTACTATTATTATCAAGAAAAAATTTTCACAAATACATTTTTCAAATAATCCCAACCCAAATATTTACTGCTGAGTAGCATCAGAGATAAAGCTGGCTCACGTAGGTTCAGATTAGGAGGTGAGAGTTTGGTGCCACACTGTCACCAAAGAAGCTGAGAGACCTAGAGAAAGTAGCCTTCTGGATGTCAGCCACCATTGCAAAGTTGCTGTCTCACAACAGCCTCCCTTCTACTCTGCTGGGTTATAGGAAACCCAACTGAAAAACACCAAGTGGAAACTGCTTGGATACGACCCAGACTGCTCTTTTTCATGTCCTTGAGTAACTCTTCTTACCTTAAGATATCCTCCAGCAGAGACAAGCATCTTGCTGTCGGGAGAGAAGCAAAGATCAGTCACCCAGCCTCCATGGGTGGCAGTTCCTTCTTCTACTGAAATTGGAGCACACAAATGAAGAAGCTGGCCACTTGAGACATTCCATATCTACATAAACATGATACATAGTTCATTAATAGGATAACTCTCAAGCCTACCAATTCCAAAGTATACACACATATCATCTGTGATATTTCTGGAAACCTTTCTTTAAAAACAAAAAGAATAGCATGCTGGATCAAAATGCTATCCATTTCCACTGAATTAACAGAGAAAAGCAGGCATGGTGGCACACACCTCTAATTCTAGCTGCTCAAGAGGCTGAAGTTGGAAGATTTTGAGTTCAAAGCCTAGGCAACATGGTGAGACTCTGTATCCAAAAACTAAAAAAAGTAAAGGTGTTTGTCCTTGAAATTCTAGATAATGTGCAAATAAGACAGATCAAAGCAAAGGAATCATGACATTCCTGAAAGGCTGGTAGACCTGTAAGTCCAAACCCTCCTGTTTCTCTGCATTACACAGAATCCTCCTTGAGTTTTAATGCTTCTGCTTAAAAGCCAACAAACAAAAAGAACAAACACACCACCACCAGAAATAAAAACATTCTCTTCAAAATTAATGGTTACCAAGGCTGCAGACATGGCTCAGCAACTAAAAGCACTGGCTACTCTTCCAGAGGAACCAGGTTCAATTCCCAGCACCCACATGGCAGCTCACAACCATCTGTGACTCCAGTGCCAGGGGATCAGACACTCTCTTCTGACCTCCTTGGTCACCAGGCATGCATGTGATACACAGACACAGATATAGGCCAAATACCCAGACACATAAAAAAACAAAACAAAACAATAACAACAAAAAAATAAAACCTAGTTACCAAAGCAGCTATCCCAGTGCTCAAGTTTTTCACTTTCTGTACAATTCTTCTAACACCACAAGTTGTTTTTTTTTTTTTTTTGGTTGTTTTTCCATAGTTTCTGATCTTTTAGCATGCAACATTTTAGACACTAGCCTTTATTTCCACAGACACAAAAGAATAGCATGCCATAACTCTCTGAAAACTGTTTCCTAGGCGAAGTTGGCATAGTTTACATGTGCACCTTCAGAAGTCCAGGGTGATAAAAGCTGGCTATTCATTTGGACTCCCTGGTGGAAATGTAAACCTCAGTAGAGCTTCATTAACAAAGACAGACAGTCCAAAGAGGACTGTAACAAACCAGGAAAATGCTGACTAGCAGGGAGAGTTCTAAAAAGATCTCTACTTTGACAATGAGAAGAGTGGAAATTTGCAATTCACTTATGAACCAATAGTTTACAAAATGAGTTTCTCTAAATTCTGCCACTTTGTAAAAGAACCTTTAGTTTACATTAAAAAGTAAGACAAATCATTCACAAACTAACAGCAGAGAACCAACTGTAACTATGTATTCACGTAACACTTATTTATTTTTACTTTTATCTGTTTGGTTTTTTTATTCTTTTGAGACAGGGTCTTATCATGTAGACCCTGGCTGTCCTGGAACTCATTTTATATAGACCAGGCTGGCTTCAAATTGAGATACACCTGTCTCTGCCTTCTAAGTGTTGGGTTAAAGGTGTGTACCAACATGCCACTGGACTTGTCTAACTCTGAAATGCATTCTTTCCTGCTGTGAAGGTGGCTATGAATATGGTGTACACAAGAAACAGCAAAGGACGGTCTATCTAACCAAAACCCCAGGACCTGTCCCACTGAAAGAGGTCTCCAGTGTTAAGCTACTGTAATTCCAGGTTAGAAGGCTTAAACAGGAAGAGCTAGAGTCAGGCCTGGCAAGGTTAAACAGTGAGTTCAGGTCAGCCTAAGCTATACTGCAAGACTCTCAAAAACCATCAAACAACCTCAGTGTGGGGAAGAATGACAGCCTACGCTAAAGGGTATATGTTAAATGTTATCTCAGTCAGCAAGCCTACCCTGATTTCTCCGTTGTCATCTCCAGTTGCCAACAGGATGCCATCCAGAGAGAAGGCAGAGCAGCGGACACAGCCAGTATGACCCTTCAACTCATGAAGAGGGGAAGGCAGTTCAAAACTCCAGATCTGCAAGGCAATTAGGATTGTTCAGGAATGGTAAACACATACAAGGCCTGCCCTAAGTGCTACACAGCCAAAAAGTCAATCACATGCAAGTTAAAACATTTGGTGGTGAGTAAACTTTCACAAGATGCCCAGCTCCAACCTGCAACCTTGTCAATTTCCTGGGACTTCTAAAACCACGTGTCACAACTTGCATACCAGAATAGAGGGGGGGAGTGGAGGGGGGAGGGAGAGACAGAGGAAATGGCTGAAAAGAAAGAAAGTGATGGGCCAAAGAGCTTGAGTGAAAAACATCACAGACAGGTGAATCACAAGACCATTAAGTGGTAGCAGGAAGGATAAAGTAAAGGAGTTGCCCAAGAAGCTGTCCACCAGTCTGTAGGGAAGAAAGCATGGTCTATGGAAACAAGGAAAAGCAGATGGAACTAAAACACTTGGCAATGATCAACAGCAGCAAAGACAACTAGATAATGTTGTCATTAAGAAAGATGGAGGAAAGAGAAAAGAATGTGGTGCTTAAGAGTTCCCAAGCTAGAAGCCCAATTCAGAGAATTTCAAAAGTATCCACTTACACTAAGTGAATAAAAATTGTGTATACATACACCCCTTTCAATTACTTTTAATGAACATAATATACAACAGATTCTATTTGATTGGTTATAAATAAAACTTTTTTCTTTTTCTTAATACTTCAAGAATTAAGAAATTAAAAATTTGAAAAATTAAGAATCTTTTACAATCTTAATTCTCCATAAAGGAGAATCAGAATTATTAAATGTCATTCATTTAATCTATCCAATGCCAAATGAATGCAAATGGGCAGATATCCTCCAAAGGCCTGTGGCCTAGGACAGCTCACATGATTCTCTAGCTTTAGCAGAATTGAAACAATGACACCTATGATATGAAGACCAAGTGAGATTACAGGGAGTACAATTCCTAGCATGAGTCATGTCCCAAAATATGAGACAGGGGCCAGGGAGATGACTCAGTCAGTGCACTGGCCTCACATGCCCAACAACCCAACTTCAAATAAACCGCTAGATGCAGTGGGCTGCACCTGTAGGTCCAGCATCGCCATGTCAGGGTGGGAGATAGAAACAGGAAAATCATCTGCAAGCTCTTGGCTCTGGAGTGCACAGCACAGCAAAAACAGCAGAAATAATGAGAGACCTGCCCCAGCAAGGGTCTCTCATTACACCCACTCCCAACAGTTGTCCTCCGGCCTACACACATATACTGTGACTCATGTAGGCTCCTTCTCTCTCCCTCTCTCTATCACATACACACACAAAATAATAAATAAATGCATTCTTTAAAAAATACATATGAGGGGATGGAGAGATGGCTCAGTGGTTAAGAGCACTGGCTGCTCTTCCAGAGCTCCTGAGTTCAATTCCCAACAACCACATGGTGGCTCACAACCATCTGTAATGAGATACTGTGCCCTCTTCTGACCTGCAAGCCAACATGCAGGCAGAACACTGTATACATAATAAATAAATCTTTTAAAAATACTTATGTTACAGATATGTAAACAGAAAGTCACTCTCTTGCCTTATACATTGTTTGGACTCATACTATACAATCAATACTGCAGGTTTTACATATGGACACTTTAAGTGACTGACTGACCTTTGCAGTCTTATCAGCAGAGGTAGATGAAAACTTGGTAGCATCAGAAGAAATATCACAAGAAAGTACTGCACCTTGATGGCAATTAAAGTCTTTTTCTATTCTTCCAGTAATGATATTCCATACCTTAAGGGGGAAAAAAAAAAGATTAAGTGACCCTTTTAAGGATATTTTTGTCATGCATGGTGGAATACAGCTATAACCCCAAGTAAGGAGGAGCAGAGCATGAGACTACAAGATCAAGGCCAACTTGGGCTACACGGTACTTCTATAGGGTGGAGTTCAGTGGTAAAGTGCTCACTTAGCTTGGGGAAGCCCCAGGTTTGGTTCCTAGAATCAGAAAACAAGGAGAGGGAGGGGAAGGGAAGGAAGGATACCTTGAGATGTGAGGGACAGTGAGAGGGGACTGGAAAGACTGTTCAGCAGTTAAGAGCACTGGCTGCTTTCCCAGAGGATCTAGGTTTTGTTTCTAGCACCCACAGGTGGCTCACAGACATCTAACTCCAGTTCCAAGAGATACAATGCTTTCGGCCTCTGTGGGTACTGCATGAATTCAGTGTACAGACATACATGCAAACAAAATACTCATACATATAAAAATAAATAAATCTTTTTTTAAAAAAGAATATAATTAGCTTTAAAACATACCCATAAAACAAGTTTTAGCACAGTAACTGTTCTGATCTCTTAAGTTCTCTTTAGTATAAATGCTTACAAACACACAACAGATGTAGGTGATTACAGCGAACAGAAAACAGGCACAGTACTGAAGTTTTTTTCATTTAATTGCTTAACATTCACGTGCTTTAAAGCTGTCACAATATAATTACTGCAACATCAGAATGTTTTCTTTAAAAGAACAATCTGGGTATGGTGGTGCACAAGGTTTTAGTCCCAGACACTCAGGAGGCAAGTGGATCTCTGTGAGTTCAAGGCCAGCCTGGTCTATATATTGAGTTACAGACAACTTATTTCAAAATACATACATACATACATACATACATACATACATACATACATACATACTACATTTTGAAACCTGGTACTCAGGTCTGTTGTTAAGATCCCTAACTGCTGTTCAAGAGGACATAGGTTCAATTCTCAGCACCCAACTCACAAGTTATCTGTATGTAACTCCAGTTCTAGAGGATCTGATGCTCTATGCTAGCCTCTGTGGACACCAACCACACATGTGGTACACAGACAGACATGCAAGCCAAACACCCATACACACAGTAGAGGAATATAAAATACATTTAAAGAATATTTTCAAAATAATTAAAAAAACAAAAAAAATACATTAAAAAAATCAAGGATTCAAATTACCTTCACTGTTCCATCAAATGACCAAGAAAGCAATCTTGAATTTTTTAGGAGCCTGAAGTCCTTCACTGTTTCCTGATGGGCTTGCAAAAAGATATAGTCCTCTGATTGCCAAGTCCATACCTGAATATCAAAGAAATAAGTCTGTTATAAACCTTCCCCAATAATGTCTCACTGGAAAGAGGTATGTATTTTCTCATCTGAAGTCTTTTTATCTTCATAGTATTTCAAACAGAGAAGCAACAAAGAACATTGTCTCTGTGTTTTACAAAGAGAAAAAGTTGAAGCTAATTAGCTTGATGGGGGAGCAAAATAAAACACTTTTTCTCCTAAATAAAATTTGTTTTCTTCAGTTGCTTAGAGAATAGTTAATTAAACCACAAGATAGAAAAAACCTACAATATGTCAGTGAGCTCACCATCTGATTAAATTTTCCAGAGAAAATTATCCCAATTACATCTCTGCAGATTTACAAACCTGCACGTCAGGTGAGGGCAGACTTGGGCTCCAGTGAAGCTCGCCCTGCTGCCCTAAAGGTCCAGGGAGCCAGACAAGTGTAAACACAGGTCGTACCAAGTTTCAAAAGTCTTAGACAGCCCTAATGCAGTTCTCAGAGTAAAAGAAGCAGCGATGGGCACTATTATTTCACATGTGGCTTAGGGAAGAGGTTCTTGGCCACAAAAGAGAAAGAAAAATTGAAGCAGTGCCAGCAACTGGGACAAAATAAGCAAACCGGAACATCTGAGGCACAACAGTGAACAGAAATGTCTATGTCATGTCAATATGCAGAATATACCATTACTAAGTCAAAGCAACAGTGTTTAGTGGCTTTTAAATTCTTGCCTTCAATTAATTTAACAAACATATTTCCGGGCTGGAGAGATGGCTCAGAGGTTAAGAGCACCGACTGTTCTTCCAGAGGTCCTGAGTTCAATTCCCAGCAACCACATGGTGGCTCACAACCATCTGTTATGAGACTTGGTGCCCCCTTCTGGTGTGCAGATATACATGGAAGCAGAATGTTGTATATACATAATAAATAAATAAAATCTTTAATTAAAAAAAAACACATATTTCCAAGTAAGGCGAACATGAATCAAACAAGGACATACCATAAGAAAATCTAAGAAATGAGACATAGAAAAAAAAATCTTAACTATTGAAGTAAAAGTATTGTGAAATTCAAAACAATGATTCCTTCAAAATGATTTGGCAGAGGCCAGCAACTCAGAGCACGAGAGAGGAGGTGGGGCTGGAAAGAAAGCTCTGCAGTTCAGAGCACTGGCTGCTCCTGCAGAGGACTTAAGATTCCATTCCCCTCACTCACACGCGTGCACGCGCACATGCGCACGCGCACATGCACACACACAAAACCACCAAAC